AAAGCTTCACAAAATCGTACAACTATAGTCATTGCCCATCGTTTGTCAACAATCAAAAATGCAACAAAAATTATTGTGATGGATAAAGGTGTTATTGTTGAATCTGGTAATCATAATGAACTTATGGCAAAAGAAGGTTACTATTTTAAATTGGTTGAAGCTCAACATATAACAAGTAAAACTGAAGATTCATCATTATTATCAATTCCAACTGAAAAACTAGAGGAGATTTTTCCTGATGATGTTCAAATAAGTCGCATTATTACAAATAAGTCAAATAAGTCAGCATCATCAGCAATAATGTCTAAAAGGTTAGCTGATATTGAATCTGGTATCAAAAGAGATAGTGATTATAAAACATTCGAACTTATAAGAAAAGTGGTTGCTATAAATCGACCAGAACTCCCATTAGTGGTTCTTGGATTATTTGGTGCTATTGTGGCTGGTTCTGTTCAACCTGTGTATGCTGTGATATTTTCAAAAATCATACAAGCATTTGCTACAACTGGTGACGAATTAACTCAAGAGGCCAAATTTTGGTCACTTATGTTTTGTGTGTATTTTCTTTCCTTTATTTTTACAATGTCATGAATTTTTTTAGATGTTATTAATTTATGAATACTTACTATATATTATTTATTAATTACATTATATAGTGGTTATTGCTGTTGTAACTATGTTGGCTAATTTTATACAAGGGATAACATTTGGAATTTCTGGTGAAAACCTTACACAGCGCATACGGTCACAGTCATTTGCAGCAATATTACATCAAGACATATCATTTTTTGATGAGGAGAATCATACAGTTGGTGTATTGACAAGTTCATTATCACTGGATGCAACACACGTGAATGGATTGGCTGGTGCAACACTTGGAACAATTTTACAAGTTTTTGCAACTATAATTGGTGGATTGATAGTTGCATTGGCAGTTGGATGGAAATTGGCTTTAGTTTGTATGGCAACAATACCTTTATTGATAGGATCTAGTTTATTACGTATGAAAATGTTAAATGGATTTCAAGAAAAAACCAAAAAAGCATATGAACATTCTGCTCAAATTGCATGTGAAGGT